TCTAAGATGAGCCTCAATAAATTTAAAAGGATTGAAGTCATACAAAGAATTTTTTTACTAAAATGCAACAAAATTAGAAATCTGTAACAGAAGACAACTTGGGAAATTCACAAATATGTAGAAATTAAACAACATACTTCTAAATAGCCAATGGATCAAAGAAGAGATCACCTGGGAAATTAGAAAATACTTTGAGATGAATGAGAAAGAAACACAGCATACCAAGAATTATGGGATGCACCAAATGCAATGATGAGAGAAAAATGTGCAGCTGCAAATGGTATACATTAAAAAAAATCTCATATAACTTAACATTCTAAATTTAAAAAAGAAAGTTTAGAGCCAAATAAACCCATAGCAGGCAGAAGTAAGGGGATGTTAAAGATTAGAGCAGAAGTAAAAGCAATGTAGGACAGAAAAACAATAGAGAAAAAAAAATACTAAGTGGGGTTCTTTCAAAAATCAACAAAATTGAAGGCACCTGGGTTTCTCAGTCAGTTAAGGGGCTGCCTTTGGCTCAGGTCATGATCCCAGGGTCCTGCTCAGCATGGAGCCTGCTTCTGCCCCTCCCCCTGCTCATTCTCTCTCTCTCTGTCAAATAAATAAATGAAGTCTTTTAAAAAAATAATAAAAATAAAAATCAACAAAATTGACAATGTGTAGCTAGACTGACCAAGAAAAAAAGGGAAAAGATAGATTATTAAAATCAGGAATGTAAGAAGGACATCACTGAGTCGTTTACAGAAGCAAAAAGGGAATACTGTGAACCAGAACTAGATATGCCACCTAGATGAAATGTACAACTTCCTAGGAAGATACAAACTTCAGAAACTGACTCAAAAAGACTCAAGAAGAACTAGAAGATGTGAATAGACCTATATAAGGAACAAAGTGATTAAATTAGTAATTTAAAAACGTTTTGCAGTCAAAAGCCCAGGCTTTTGATTTCACTGGTGAACTCCATCAGATATTTAAAGAATTAATACCTATTCTTCACAAACTCTTCTGAAAAATATAAGAGGGAATATCTCCACATTCATTGAGGCCAATGTTATCATGAGAGGAGAAGCACACAGAGGTATCACAAGAAAACTACAGATGAATATCCTTTATGCAAAAATCTGGATTTGGCTTGTGGGCCATAGTTTGACAATCCATGCTATCAAACAAACCAGTTTGTGATAAAACAGCAAAATGGGTAAAAGTGTGTATGTATAGGTGTGGGATCAGTAATTCTTCTTTTTTTTAAAGATTTTATTTATTTATTTGACAGAGAGAGAGAGAGAGAGGGAACACAAGCAGGGGGAGTGGGAGAGGGAGAAGCAGACTCCCCGCCGAGCAGGGAGCCCAATGCGGGACTCGATCCCAGGACCCTGGGATCATGACCTGAGCCGAAGGCAGACGCTTAATGACTGAGCCACCCAGGCACCCCATGATCAGTAATTCTTGATTCAATAACTCTTATTGAAGTTAGAGTAAATTTTTTGTGTCATTGGTCCAGTACTTGCATGATTATATGACTTAGTGAGTTGTGTAGGTTGAGGCATTATTATTTTCCAGCTCCCCAGGTGATTCCACAGGGCAGCTATGTTTGAGTACCAGGATGTTAATTAAACCAGTGCTTTTCAAACTTCAGTGTGCATATTTATCACCTAGGATCTTGTTAAAAATGTGGATTCTGATTCAGTAGTTCTAGAATGGGGTTTCAAATTTTGCATTTGTATCACATGCTCAGATGAGGCTGACACTTCTGGTTCATAGACCACATTTTGAGTAGCAAGGCACTCACACTGGTTTCCAAGCCTGGGATGTCTAGATCCTGCCCCAAGAGATTTTAGTATACATGTTCTGAGATGTGGCCTGTGCCTCAAGATTTTTAAAAGCTCCATAGGTGACTCTAATGGCAGAAAAGCTTCAGAACCTCTGCTAAAGTTCATGGTGTTTTTATAAATTTTAATTTTTATATTATCAGTAGCTCTAATATGAGTCTTTTTTCTATTTCTCACCCCATTCTACACCTCTTCATGTCAAAACATCGATATGTATGGTGAGAATCAGAGTGAGGTCTTTACCCTTTTGCTCTTATCCATCTCTGAGGAGTAAAAAGTAGTTCAAGATGGAAAGAGAAGTATCAGGTAAACTGGATTTGGGAAGAATAAGCAAAACATGTTCTAGGAGGCCATTTAAAAGGAAAGCTGGTTTAGACAAAATAGGAGGATTACCACAGAAAGTTGTCCACAGTAAAACTCACTTCTGGCCCTGAGCTTGGGGCAGCCTAAACACAGATCTTCCTTGCTAAGTCCTGGTCATGCCCGAAGACCAAAGAAGCCACAGAAGATTGTTTTCTTCCCTTCTCAGTATGCAAGGTGACATAGTTAGCTAAATTAAATAATGTATCCAAATTCACCCAAGATGAGTGGCTAAACTGGGATGTGAACCCAGGCAATGTGAGGTTAAGAAACCATTACAGCAAAATACCTCTCCAAAACAGGAAAGTAAGAAAGGTCCTCAGTGAACTGATAGTTTTAAACACACAAATAGATGCTTGCCCTGTGCTTCCTCATATCTATGGGAGGGGTACATATTAAAATATATAAATAAATATGTAAAATCTGAGACAAACCCAGAGAGAGGAGAAGTCCTCAAAGTAGGCAGAGAAAAAAATAGTGAAAAGACCAAGTTTGACTAGGAAGAATAAAGGGTAATAACATTTTCTGGAAACTAAACTTAAAGGGCCATAATCCTCATTTTTAAAAAGTATTAAAGCACAGTCATGGGAAAATGTAAAAGCAGATTACTGCTTAGCTAAAGTTCATATTTTACTAAATACTTCAAAGCAATCTGTTAGCTTTAAAGAGATCAAGCTACCCATGTGTCTTTGCATATAGGATACAAAACCCATAAATTTTAAATTTTGATCTTTGTAAAGTACACATGGTGCAGAAGGAACAAAATGTTTTGAGTAATTTTTCCCAGACACGAACAGCTTTAAAGACTTACATGGGTACAGATTTCATCCGGTCAGAGAGTGGACTGAGAGAGGGGATGAGTTTTTAAAGGGAAGCAGAAAAAAAAAAAAATACATAGAGAAGCATCTATCATTTCCTTGGGAAATCTTTTTGCTAAGAAATAACTTCTTTCTACCCATAGCCATGAAGACAAGGTAATAGGCTAACTCCTCTCTGCATCTTGAAAGGAGCAACCTGAAACCACACTTACATCAGGAACAGGCTGATTTGGGGACACTGGAGATGGGCACACATGGTCACAGTCTGGAATGAGGTGATGGTCAAGGTGGGGCCAGTAGCCCTCTGGGTGTTGTAACACCTCAACCCATCCTCTGATAGTAGCTGCCTGGGCATGGGGCTGACTGTGCCACACACTGAACTCTCTGGTGAGCTTATCCGGTCCCATGACCTCAACACCATCTGTGACTGATGTCTCTCATATGTTTATTTCCAAACCTGACATCCCACCTGAGCTCCAGATTCATTTTTCTGACTACCTGCATGACAGTTCCACTTGCATATCTAGTAGGCATCTCAGATTTTACATGACATGCCTTCCCCACCCCTCCTATCCCCCTGCAAACATCCTCAAATTAATAACTAAGCATTACCATCAACTCAGGTATTCAAGTACAAACACCTAAATTATTTTCCTCATTTCTCATTCTTCACCTGTGGTCCATGAGCAAATCTTGTTGATTCATCCAAATCCAACTAGAATTTTGTTGTCACCTTTTCTTTAGCTTTCACTCCAGTTCAGCCACCAAAGTCTCTCATTGGATCTGCTACAGTATCTCCTGATTGGCCTCCCAGCTTCAACTCTTGCCCACTGGCTACATTTGACAAAGCAGTCAGACTCAGTGGCTTAACATTCAGGGGGATTTATTCTACTTCATATTCAGTATCACAAATTTGAGCTTCAACCTTGACCTTGTATTTTTCAGCCGTTCTAATAACGTAATTTGGGGTTTTGGATACTCCTGCTACGTTAATGGAAGAAAGGGTACAATTGAAGTAGAAAATTGTATTTGGATATATATTTTTTTAATTTTATTTATTTATTTGACAGAGAGAGACACAGCGAGAGAGGAAACACAAGCAGGGGGAGTGGGAGAGGGAGAAGCAGGCCTCCCGCAGAGCAGGGAGCCCGATGATCGATGATCGCAGGACCCTGGGATCATGACCTGAGCCAAAGGCAGCCGCTTAACGACTGAGCCACCCAGGCGCCCATGTATTTGGATATTTTGTAAGGGCAATATGCATGTCGAGCATGGTGACCAGGAAGTCACTCCCCTGTCTATGCGAAGCCAGCCTAAGGCTCAGTTACACTGTTACTGTTGCCCAGGGCAAGCTTGTCAAAGAAATACTCTGCCATTCCTGCTTCTAAGACCCCTATGTTGCTACCCAGGAGCAACAATTGTTAACATTTGCGTATTTTAGTAAGCTAAAAGTTTTCAAGTGAAGTTGAAGACTCCCTTTAATACCAGCCTAATCCCATTCTTCACTTTTTCCATAGGGACAACCACTGTTGTGAATTCTAGACCACGTTCTTTTATACTTTTACCATATATATACACTTACTGACACCCAGGGCCCCAGACCACCCACCTCACCTCACCCCACCACCCCCCTGCCCCCACATCGTTTATAAAGGGAAGATTGATTTGTGTTTTCCAGGGTCCCATGGAATACCTTCTCCCTCCATCTCCCGAGATCCTGAGCTGCATGTGGATGGGGTTGGGTAGATAGACTCCTGGATACCTGTTTTAAAACCTAAAAGGCGAAAGATTGGCACACGAATCAACCAGACACCTTTTTTTAATTTAAGAACCAAATAACTTTATTGAAACCAACTTTATTTATTTATGGCAAAACTGGAAGAAAAAAAAAACTGGAACGTTTTGCAAAGGCAATACTGCAATATGCATGCTCGGCATGGTGATCAGGGAAAGTCACCATGCACCCTGTGGCTATAGGGGAAACAGTCCCAACTCAGTTCTTTTTGTCGCTGTCGCCCAGGGTGAGCTTGTCAAAGAGGTACTCTGCCATGCCGACTTCCGGGGCCCCCATCTTGCTCAGGTTGGTGACATAGCCCCCCAGCTCTTTGATGGACTTGACTTGCTCGTGCAGGTAGTGGCTCTCGAGGAAGTCGCACAGGTGGGCGTCGCTCTTGTCGGTGGCCAGCTGGTGGAGGTCGAGCAGGCTCTGGTTCACGCTCTTCTCCAGGTGCAGGGCGCACTCCATGGCCTTCAGGCCGCTCTCCCAGTCGTGGCGGTCTGGCTTCTTGATGTCGCGGAGGCGGATGCGGCCCCCGCGCTGGTTCTGCAGCTGCATCAGCTTCTCGGCATGCTCGGTCTCCTCGCGGGACTGGCACAGGAAGAACTGGGCGAAGTTCTTCAAGGCCACGTCGTCGCGGTCGAAGTAGAAGGCCATGGACAGGTACACGTAGGAGGCGTAGAGCTCCAGGTTGATCTGGCTGTTGATGGCGGCCTCGCAGTCGGGGTGGTAGTTCTGGCGCACTTGTGAGAGCGGTGCGGTGGCCATGGCTGGTGGTCCGGGCACCAAGGGGAAGGTGAAGGTGCCGCGGGAGCGAGGGCTGCGCAGCGGGCAGCGGCGGGGCCGAAGGCGGTGGCGGCCTCGGAGATTTCCCAGTGTGAATGAAGAGAGAGGCCGGAGGCAGACAGGCTCCGTGCCTGGTGGCAACAGCTCTGAGATGGGGCCAGTAGTTGGAAACCGTTACCTGGAAGTGGTGGGGGAGGGGGAGGGAGGATCTGTTATGTGGGGGAGGGGGAGAAGGAAGTGAAGGATGAAAGAAGGGGGCGGGCCACAAGCACTGAGTTCAGGTTACGTCAGAGCCTGCGTAAGAGAGGGAAACTGCTGAGTGCGTGGCTTCTTAAGTGTTTTTAATTTTGCATTAATTTTTCTAGTTTGCAAGAAGTTTATCTTATTCTTAATTGTTCTATAGCAACATTTTCTTATTTTATAAACTAATTTTCTTCCCTTAAAATTTTGAGACTATGGAAGCACCTGGGTGGCTCAGTCGTTAGGCATCTGCCTTTGGCTCAGGTCATGATCCCGGGGTCCTGGGATCGAGCCCCGTGTTGGGCTCGTTGCTCAGCCGGGAGCCTGCTTCTCCCTCTCCCACTCCCCCTGCTTGTGTTCCCTCTCTAGCTGTCTCTCTCTCTCTCTGTCAAATAAATAAAAAATCTTAAAAAAATTTTTTTTGAGAATATGAATTTAAATTTTTTGGTGAAGTTCTCTTCTGTTTCCTGTATTATATCTGTTTTCCACCTACAAATATTTCATTTGCTCCTGATGATTTTCACTTTTAATTTTGTCAAATATCTGCCAGACCTTTGTTTACTTATATTTAGGAATAAATGGCTTGTTTAATCAGCCTAGGTAATTAGCAAAGCTCTGATCTGTAGTTGTGATGTTTATTTCACCAATATGCTTCTCCTCAGAATGAAAGGGCAGGGTGTGTCAGTTATTCAATGGTTTTCTCCTTTGTGGGTATAAAGCATGGAGCTTGGATAGGGACCCTCCCTGTTACCAAAATATATTTTTGACATTGGAAGAGTAATGTTTTTTTTCCTTCTGGGTAGATATGCCCTGTTGTTTCTCTCCTGTGAAGATCTGTAGTTGTCTTAAGCTCATTCACTGTCTTTGGAGTGTAGTTTTGGGAGATTAAAGGTGTCAGATGAGACAGGTGCTTATTTCTCATTGTAAGTAAGAGTGGGGAAGGGTCAGAGCAGGACAGGAAAAATAGGTCTGCTGTTAATAGACTAGCTCTTTCATCTCACAGCTGACCCTGGAGCCTCTGCACTGCTGTAATTTCATTTACTCTGGCATTAGAGTTTCTTTGAATATGACCAGATTTTCTACTGCAGGTGTTGCAACTTCTCTGAATTAGCCAATCTAATAGTCTCTTCTCCTGTTTTTCCAGAATTCCTCACAATTTTTGGTCTCCTAATGGCACCCTTTCTAGTGTGTCTGTGTGTAGATAATTTTTGTGTTTAGTTCACCACCATGATTCAATTATCTTCTTCAAAAGCCATTTAAAAATGAAACTCTACTTTCTGAATAAGTGGTGTTTCTACACAGTTCAAAAACCACAGTTTCCTCTGCAGGCAACCATTGGTACTATTTGTGATAATCAGTAGGAGAAAAAGAATGAAAAAGAAGAAATCATACTTATCTTAAGAAAAATCATAGAGTCAGAGTTAAGAAACTTTAGAAACATATTCCATAGCACATTTTTTAAGTGTACATAGACCATTTACTAAGACAGACCATATTCTAGTCCACAACACAGATCTCAATAAATATAAAATTACTCATATCATGAACAGTATGTTCTCTGATCACAACAAAACTGGATTAGAACTTATAAAGATATCTGAAAAACATTTAAATATTCAAAAGTTGATAATACATTTCCAAACAACCTAAAGGTCAAAGAAGAGGTCAAAGGGAAATTAGAAATTATTTGGACTTGAGTAAAAACAAAACACAGCATATCAACATTTGTGACATGTAGCTAAAGCAGTGTTTGCATGCTAATTTTTGAAAGCTTTAAAAAATTCTTATATTAGAAAAAAAAGAAAGGTCTCAAATCCGTCATTTAACCTTCTACCTTAAAAAGGAGAAAAAGAAGACCAAAATAAACCCAAGTCAAGTGGAAGGAAGGAAATTATAGAGATATGAGCAGAGTTTGTTTTTATACATATGTTAAATGAGTAAGTTATGAGTAAAACTGGTTCAGTAAATTGAGGAAAATTGGGTCCTAATGTTTAGGAAGGTTGCTCAGTGTACTGGAGATTCCCCAAAGTAAGAGGACCTGAGCATAAGGAGTAATTTTATAAAGAGGTTGAAAGAATAAGGTTGTGAAAAGAGGGAGAAATCTCTGGTCACTGACCAGAGGTAGCAGGTAAAACAGGAGTCTGGGTCTAGGGAAAACTCCTCAAGATGAAGATATTTAATCATTTCAGATTCAGAGACAGGTAGAAATGATTTTAAATTTTAGCTCTTTCATGTTGTAGAATTGTGATTTTTGTCATATTAATAAAGCTGTCTGAACAACAACAAAAAGATATGAGAAGAAAATAGTGAAATAGAAAACAGAACAAAAATAAAAACAATAGGTCATATCAGTGAAATCAAAGCAGGTTCTTTGAGAAAATTAAACAAACAAAAAAATAAATCTCTAGACAGACTAATTAGGAAAAAAAGAGAGAGCGAAGACACAAATTACCAGTTTCAGGAAAGAGAGAGGAGCTATTACTACAGATCATATACTCATTCAAAGGATGATGAGGGAATATAATTGCTATATAGATATATATTTTGATTTTTCATCCCCAGTTCCTCACCAGAGGTTCTAAAACCTTTGTACTTTTCTAAGCGATAAGAGCAGTAGAATCATCTTTGTTATAATAATTGGTTTTTTTTCCCTAGCTCCTGAAACAACTCTGGAGTGATAAAGATGAAAGGAGCGTCTTTTGTTATTCATAACAAACTCCTTTCAACCACACCTGAATTTATGATAATGATGTGACTTTTGGAAAGCCCCTAAGGATGGAGGACTGTTTGCCAGAGGAACTAACCGTGTTATTTCAGCCCTTCCTCCTGACTTAAGGGGAGAAGGACTAGAGGTTAATTAACTGATTTAATGAATATGCCTAGGTAATAAGGCCCCCATAAAAACCCTAACTGAAGAGATTCAGAAAGCTTCCAAGTTGGTGAACACATGGAGGTCCTGGGAAGGTAAAAAACCTAGAGAGTTTCCATGCCCCTTCCCCTTATTCCTTGGCCTATGCATCTCTTCCATCTGGCTGATTCTGAGTTGTATCTTTTTATAATAAATGGTAATCTAGTAAGTAAATTGCTTTCCTGAATTCTATGAAACATTGTAGAAAATTATCAAAGCTGAAGAGGAAATCATGGGAACCTCCAGCTTAGATTTGCAATTAGTGCCTGAAGTGGTTGATTGGGGGGCAGTCTTGTGGGATTGAGTCCTTAACCTGTGGGATCTGTGCCGATTCCAGGTAGTTAGTGTCCTAATTGAATTTTAGGACAGCTAATTGGTTTTTGGAAAAGTTGGAGAATTGGTTGGTATGGGGAAAACCTCCACATATTTGTTGTCAGAAGTATTCTCTTTAATAATGAACAACTTTATACCAATAAATTTAACAACATAGATGAAATTAAGCTACATGCTAATCTATGTATGAACAGAGATACAAAAATCTTATATACAAAAGTTACCAAAACCAATCCACAGTGACCATGTTGTGTACATGTAGGTACTAATGTTCATTCAACAGGAAATATATACCCTAAATAGCCCTTTATCTTTAATTAAATTGAATTTTTAGTTAAAATATTCCCACAGAGAAGACTTCAGACCCACTGTCTTTACTGATGAATTCTGCTAAATGTTTAAATAAGAAGCAAGTAAATCATACAAGCTCTTCTAGAAAATCAAAGAGGAAGGAATACTTCCTAGTATATCTTCTAAGGCCAGCACTACCCTGATATGATAACCAGACAAAAAAATTACGAGAATGGTACAGACCAGTTTCCTTCATAAATATAGGCACAAATAGGGCACCTGGGTGTCTCAGTCAGTTAAGCATCTGCCTTCGGCTCCGGTCATGATCCCAGGGTCCTGGGATGGAGTCCCACCTTGAGTTCTCTGCTCAGTGGGGAGCCTGCTTCTCTCTATCCCTCCGCCTGCCACTCCCCCTGCTTGTACATGCTCTCTCTCTCTCTCTCTCTGACAAATAAACAAATAAAATCTTTAAATATATATATATATAGTCACAAGTATTCTTAATAATGTGTTAGAAAATCGAATCCAATAATTACAAAATAATGGCATAATATGACCAAGTGAGTTTCATCTCAGGAATGCAGGGCTAGGTCAACTTTAAAAAAACAATCAATGTAATTTATCGTATTAATGGACTAAAGAAGAAATGTCATATAAGCATCTCAATAGATTCATAAAAAGCATTTGACAAATTCAAATATCCATTTCTGCTTTAAAAAAAAATCTTAGGGCGCCTGGGTGGCTCAGTTGGTTAAGCGACTGCCTTCGGCTCAGGTCATGATCCTGGAGTCCTGGGATCGAGTCCCACATCAGGCTCCCTGCTCAGCAGGGAGTCTGCTTCTCCCGCTGACCCTCTTCCCTCTCATGCTCTCTATCTCTCATTCTCTCTCTCTCAAATAAATAAATAAAATCTTTAAAAAAAAAATCTTAGCATACTAGGAATAGGAGAAACTTTCTCAACCTGATATAGGGCTTCTTTGAAAAACCTACACCTAACATCATATTTAGTGGTGGAAGATTGAATGACTTCCACCCTAAAGTCAGCAGCAAAACAAGGATGTCCATTCTCATCACTCCTAATTAACATTGAGCTGGAGGTCCTAGCTTGTGAAATAAGGCCAGAAAAGGAAATAAAAGGCACACAAATTGGAAATGAAGAAATAAAACTGGCTCTACTTGCAGATAACTTAACTGTCTACATAGAAAATCT